GAAACTCTTGTGCTCTTACTTTGGAACGTTACTTTGCATAAATTTGAAAATTACATCGTAGCATAATTTTTAACCCTCTCACTGCGTACTATTTTTTATCAAAATAGGTTCAAAAATTGCGTATTTGTTTTATTACATATTTCAAATCTACATATATTTTAGAGTTAAAATATACAAAAACTTTTTCTGAAAAAGTTTTTGTTCAATATAGAATTAGATCATAGAAAAAGGTTGTCAGAATACTGAAATTGAAGAATAATGATATAAAAGGAAAATTTTGAATATTGGTTAAATTTTGATTTATTTTATAAAATACAAAGGTAAAACATATATATACTAATGAAAATATTTGCATAATGTAATGTTTTGCATATCAATTTTTTACCACTGTCGAACGTTTTCTATAGAAACTGAATTTTCAGATTCATCACTATCTGCAGAGGAATCCGAGCAATTCTCATCAGTTTTGCTATAACTATCTTCAATATACTTGAAATCAGAGTCAGAACTACTATCAGTGTCGGAAATATTGTCAAGAATATAGGTTATATCCCTCGAGAAACGCTTCCTGCCAGACATCTTTGAGCTCTGAAAAGCGCTCGCAAAATGCTACATTGCGTATTCTTGTATATTTGGCAGAAATGTAGACAACTAACAGAATCTGTTAGCCCACATCTAAATAAACAATTAAACATCACAGAAAAGCCGAAATGAAAACTTGAACGGGGAAAGAGCGGGTTGCACAGTTAAATAGACGGTAAAAATTCATTATCGCGGAAATCGCTGTTTGCGCAAATTTTGCTGCTTTTACGTTGCCCGTGGAAATCGCGTGTTGCGCAACGAGAGGGTTAAAATTACATCTGAGTTCTTTTTATTAATTTTTCACTTAATGAATACCACCCAGATTATTTATTTATTTATTAATAATTATAGTAAAAACGCTGCTTATTTTTTGCAGGAAAAATGTAATTAAAACATTTTCAGATTTCTAATATCTTAGCTTTTTTATTAGTATTTTCCTCGACAGATGGCACTACTTTCGTTTTCCATTAAATTTCATACAAAATTGTTGTCGCTACCTCTATCTTTTCAACACTCTGTTTTCTTCCTTTTTTTACTTCCTTGTACGAAGAAAAAGGAAGTACTGTAATCGCGAAAAGCTTCAGGCAGCATATTTCAACGAAAATATCCACTTTGACCGGTTTCGAATGCAATCTAACGATGTTTCTGCGTGATATCTGTACGTAAGGACAGAATAAAAGACTCATTTCCTCCACAAAAAAAAAAAAAAAAAAAAAAAAACTAAAAAACTGCTTTAAAATGAATTCTGAAGAGAATTTCTTGTGGATTCTGTATATGCGTACGTACGTATCTCGCATAATTCAAAAACGAGTAGCCTCAGAACGTTGAAATTTTGTATATAAGACTACTATAACATGTAGATGTGCATCTCGTATTTTGGTTTCAATCGGCCGCGCCAAACGTATATAAATATATTTATAAATATATCCACTCTGTTTGTTACCCGCCTCAGTGATCTCAGTTTCTTACTCTTATATGTTTGTAAATTGTACATTTTTTGCTTTAAAAAGGATTGAATTATGTTTTTTTTTACCTTTCGGTTAAGGGTTTTATGCCTTTAGTAAATCTGTATGCAATATTTTTAGAATTATCAACAATTTAAAAATTGTTTAAGTGCTGCTAAGCCTAATTTGATGGCGGCCATTGCTCTTGTTTACATTTGAAACAGCTGAGTAGCGGATTTGGTGCCAATCTAGAGAAACTTAGCTTCGCAAGAACAAAGATAACGCCTTCATTTATTATTTAAATCATGCTTAATCCTTTCTGGAATTTTTTCAAGGAAATAAGCGTTTAAGATTTACTTCGTAATTTTTAATACAGATATTTTGAGTTTTTTTTTATGTATTTTTGTCTTGTCGCGAAGTGAAAACTGAATGAATTGAATGAGAAATACTCAATCGTCTGTGAAAAACTGTTTCTTTTTTGTTTTGTTTGCTTAATTTCTTTTATACATCGTTCTAGCTTTATTATAGTACTTGAATAGAACATGTGGCAACGATTAGATAATTCTTTAAATGATATAAATTTTGTGCATTCTGAGTTATAATATGAACGAAATATAATACTGTTAAGTAAACCTAGCGCTAGAGTGTCGCTATGGTTAACAAAGTGAATTTTAAAGAATGCATTTATTCTATTGTGGTTTATGCGATGTCGGCGAAGTAGGTTTAATTCAATCTAATAAGTTTAAATGAAATGCAAGAAAAAATGCGTATAATTTAATATTCCGTACAAGGAAGTCATGTGGTGTACACATCAGATTTTTTTACCCTGCTAAAGAAGAGGGTCTTATTTCAGATGTCCCTCGGGACAGAATTCTAGCTAAAATCTGCACCAGAAGTTGATTTTTCGCCTAATTTTAAGAGGATTTTTTACAAGTGTGTTGGATAATCAAAGAAGAAAATTTGTGTACGTCATTTCGAAAACTGCGATCAGTTAGCGAATTTCAGATTCTTCTATCATTTCGGAAATTTTTGTTTTAGCTTGCTAGCATACTACTCCAGTTTGAGGAAAGATAGACATTATAGATGATAGCAAAATCTACCTTTATATATCTGAATGAGACTAATGATTGATTGGTTATCGTCTTACAATTGATTTGGTGTCGTCTTATCATTGCAAATTTTTCAAATGTCACAAAAATTGCCAGTTTTACTTACATATAATAGTTATACCAGTCAGAGTTCCATTGGTTTCGTATATCTTATCTTTGACGACACACGCACCAAAAAAAAAAAAAAAAAAAAAAAAAAAAAAAAAAAAAAAAAAAGGCGATTTTTTTTTTCTGGTGCTATATAGAGTTTGTAAAACGTAGATGTAAACTTTATTTTCTTAATAAATATTTTTCTTAGACATGTACTTTCAGTATCAAAGTTTGCCAGTTTAAGGTAGAGAATTTTATAAAAGAATTTTGAGTCAAGAATACAAGAGAATTGCGTAAGTGCAAAATACATTTTTTTTTTATTTCCCACAAAGAAATTTAATGAGTTAAGTATTCATTATGCGTCACGAAGTTAATTGCAAAACATTCATTACTTTTACATGAAAATTCGCAAAGATATTTGTAACTAGCCAGCAAAAAATTTAAATGTTTATTCTGTTTTACCGAAATGAAAGCTGCAGATAGAAAAATAAAATACTTTTGTTTTGCATTTGCTCCTTGAATTCTAGAGAAATTTAAGGAGTATTTAATATCAGGGAGAAATACCATTGAAAATGATTGAAAAGTCAGTAAATTCATTGTGCAATACCTTCCCACAGCATTTGATCGATAACATTGGTACTTCGTTTTGCATTCGATTCCCGACAAACGAGCTGATTATATGAAATTTTTTTCTTTTCTTTTTTTCTTAAATTTTTATTTGAGCCGAAGCTTTATCATCAACCGACTTATGATTCATTTCTTTGCCTTATTTATTTGAAGAATATGAATAATAACAACACCAACCTATGTAAATAACAAGGAAATAGTTTCATGATGCCACCATTTAAACAGCAGATAAATTTACTGCCTTTGAAAGATATTTAAAAAATGCTATCAAAGCATACATACATATTTTATGATAATAATATGTTAAAGCTGAAGCGTGTTTGACAATGGTTCATCAATTTCCAAGGCCACTGCTTTATTTTTATTTATTTATTTGTTTATTTTGGTATTACAGAAAGAAACCGATTTACAAAATTTGAGGCCTGGGTAAACGGAGGAAAATCTATTGCAGAGTTACTCCCCTTTCTAGATATTTTAATGTTGCCGTAAAATTGAAAATATGCATAAAATTTTACATATTTTCAATACTATGTAAGGTATATTTAAATTTTATAACAGTTATTTTAAGTTAATGCATCTTTTCTATCTACCTAGCTTCAATTTACAACTCCCTTCCAGAATTAGTTTTTAGAATCACGTTAAATGCAAATGAGGAGGAGAATAGTATTTAAGTCTACTTCAGCTGACTTCGACAGAGAGAGTTAGGATTCCTGAATAGCGAAGTTTGCCTTTGGACTACGTCTCTCTTAGCTGTTGCTACGCTCGGCCGTATAACGTGCCTTTTGAAAGTTCGCTGGCTAATATAATATTACAGGCCAACTAGTTTAGAATTGTGTTAGCTTCGACTAAATCTCTTTAGTTAGTCATTAATTAGTTCTTATTTCTTACATTTTGAATTTAAGCCAAGTGGAGTCTTTGCTGTACACCCTAAGAAAGGGGCCGACGGTTAAAATTTTATTGAGTAAATAAAGGATAATTAATCTTTCTTGAATTTGCGTTTATCTTCTTGGACTTAAGCGATTATTCGCTTAGCAGTTCACTAAGTTCCTTGACACTTAATTGAACAGGATAAGAAAGTTTAGAGGCCTACATAAAAGTAGAGGTCCGAAACACATGCCTCGTTTACCTAAGCAGGAATCGGAGCCTGCTTACAGAAAGTAGTTTTGTAAAAATTTTAAGCCAATATTTTGCATTAAAGGCAGGAGGTATGACAGCATTTAACTATGAAGTAAAATTTGAACTGAATTAATATCGGAATTGCATAATTAATTTGGGTCGCACAATCTCTATAAAAAAAGGTCTAAGATGTTCTTTTTTTTTTTTTTTTTTAAAGATCTTCTTGAGCAACAATTATGCATAGTGGTGAAGTGGTGACAACACGTCGTCTTTCAGTGTCTTAGCGAAAGCATTATTGCTCCGTAATGTTGTGCTGTTTAACGTCTACGCAATGAAGCTGACAATGAAGCGCAGAGATTTCCGTATAAAATAAAAATAATTTTAAATGACGGGAAAATATTTTACGTACATCGAATGATTCGCAACCTTTCTGCTGTTTCAGGTCACGAATTTTATAAAAAAACAGGCAAATTCCCCAGATCATTGATATCACGCATATCGTCTTATTTATTTACCTTATTTTCTCTTCCAGCGATGCTGCCTTCAAAGGTCTGGAATCAACTCTCCATAACCTCAACCTAAAAGGTACGGGTCAGGTGAAATTGCCGACCGCCGTCAAGCAACTTTCCGAACTTTCTTTTTTAGATTTGTCCCAGAACAAGTTCTCGGTAATGCTTCCGGATGACTTCCAAAACCTTCGACAGCTGACGGCCTTGACCCTGGAAAGGAATATGGTCAGCTCGGTCGATCCACGGGCCTTCGCTGGCCTCAACGGCACACTCAGCTCTCTGTCTCTCCTCAACAACAAAATCGAAGAATTCCCTACAGACGCCATCAGACCCCTCATCCAGCTGAGGGTGGGTACTTAAATTTGTTTGATTATGTACTCTCATTAATATTTACTACAAATATTTCGTAAATTTTATAATTTATTGTTTATTTATTTTATTTATTTATTTATTTTGCTAATTAGTATATTAAGCTACCTCTATTTTTCTGGTGTTCTTTTCTAAGTAGTTTTTGTGTCCTAGGCGTTGGCTTATGTAAAAGATATCTTGAAGAAGAATGATCAAAAAACTGTTTCCATCTTCCAGTGGTATATTTTCAAACGGACGTACCATTCCAATAAAAAAGTCATTGACATGGCAGAACCTGTCCTTCCCATTTTAATGCATATTGATAACGCATGCAAAATATCTTCTGCATAGTAAAAAGAGCATTTTAAATGGATGTTTAACATTGTCACGTCATGAGTATACAAATCTTTTATAGCACTTAAAATGTGCACGTTGATAAATTAACTGCATAGAAAGATCAAATAATTCGAATAACTGGAATTCCGAATTCTTGGTGTCCAGGTAATTGAAGTTCTACTATCTTTGGTTCATTTCATGAATTTCGATAAATATTATAAAAAACAGGTAGTTTACAGTGGCTATGTCACTTTTAATCTATATTTCTGAAATATAAACTTCTTCAACGAAAGACATAATGTGATAAAGCTATATCAATCGTCATGCTAGTGACTCTTGGCCCAACTGTTTTGAAATTTTAATACAAACAGTTGATTTAACCGAGTTACCTTTTACAGCTTGTAACAGTCTAAGATCTGTAAATATAATGTAACGTGTGACAGTCATACTTCTAAATCCTTCAACAGCATAAATTTGTATCTTAAAAATATTAATTAGCTTTTAGTGAAGGAATATTACGGATACATATTTTTAATGAACTGTTATTATTACACAATGTCTACGGTAAAGCTCTTCTCTAGATCTTAGTATTTCAGTGAATGTTTAAGCAAAACTCTTTTCTTCAAAAATAATCTGTCAGAAAGAATTCCGTGGAAGGCAGGCGAGGGATATGCAATGATCATGGAGTTATGGAAACTATAGAGACTTTAAAAAATTCTTCATTCCCAGTATCGGCTGTCGAGTTATGGAACATGAAGCGCGTTGGGAGACTCTCTGTATTGGTTTATATCTTCTCTTTGTTCCATAAACCTCTACAGAAACCATTGCAGTACAGCCATAAAAGCGAAGTAGCGTTATGTGAACCTATGATTGACTGAAGTTATTTTTAGCACATGATGTTGTAACGTTTAGTTTTCTTGGCTAGCATACGCTGCTACTAAACCTACATGAAAGTCTGTCAGAGATTTATCGCTAAGACTAGAAGATGAATACAACACGGGAAGGGTGTAAAAGATCCTTTTATTGAACTCATTTATTTACAGACGGCACAGTCTTTGCGCTTACAAATCCACCATACGCTTGTGGCGATAAAACTGAAGATAATAGTAAACTAAATTTAAAGATAAGTAATCAAGTTTAAGACTACATAATTTAACCTAGCAGGTTGTCTCAGAAACCTGATATTAATGAACGGCAAGAATGAGAAGCCGCGATTCATGATTCAAACAACAACGTGCGCACTCAATAGCGAAACTTGCTCTGACTCACCGTATCTCTACTTCAGTTTAAATGCACTAAACTCATTTACATCCTGGCGAGGAAATGTGAAAGAAATAAGAAATGACAGAAAAGGCTAACAAGTTAGAATAATTATTAGTAAAAATAATATGATCTTCACAATGTGATGTAACAGTATAATTATTTTTTCATGCTACCCATTTGCTGTCAACTGCAATTTGAATTAACTTAAAAATTAAATTTTTTTTATTTGTATAGCAATCTAAATTTGATGTTTTAATTTGTGTCAATAATTGCCTGCGAATAATTTAAAAATCGTACATATAAACCATTGCCGCAGAGATCGAACTTGTATTTAAAAATTCTCTTAACTTGCTTTGTGCCTGTAACAGGTCAGACGAGTTAGTGGTAGTTAAAATTGTATATCGTCAGTTCGCTATATAATATGATATATGATAAAATATTCAAGGACATCTTAAAAGGCGATACGATTACACAGGTTCTGCAACTATTCTCGGTCACCCACTCGACGAGAAAATCTATCAGAGAGAAAATAGATAATCAAGAAATACAAAAGAAAAGCAGGGAAGAATGCGACCAAATTTCCTTTCCTTTTTCTCGAGAAAAATTTATATTTGTATACTTAAAATTCTGCAAGATAGTAAGCTATAAAAAATAAAATGAAAATATTGCAGACTATAATAACAATAGAATTTATACAAACATTTTGAATTTTATCCAAGGCTTGCTTATCAGTTTTTCAGAAACTTCCACATAAGCAAATGCATTTTTAAAAGTCTGAATACAGCTTAATATTTTTCTGATATACGTTATCAGATGCTCCGCAAAATCCATATCTGCTGCTAACGGACATTAGTCTGAACGGTAGTTCATAGGTGTAATGGTTTAACAATCAGTGACATTGCTATTTTTAATAAAGAATTTTTTAATGGATCTGCTTATTTTGGGCAATATGTTAGCCTACTTTTTTTTTTACAAATTCTCTATTTTTTTAAAGGGTCATCGTGTTGATCGTTTGCTTATATCGAGACATTTACGTTGTGAGTCTATTGGTTACGTGTTACTTTAAATGTTTGTTAGTAGCTTAACCTTTTCGTAAACAAATTGACCAAAGAAAAACATCACTCATGGTTATTGAATGGCATGAAATGCTCATGATGCGATTTAAGTTTTTTCAGCAGTTTAAAGTATAATTATCAATTTTTGTTAATGTTAATGAAATAATAATAAAGAAAGAAAAACTGTTTTCAAAATAATATTTAAAATTGTGTAGCACCCCGCCTCCCCCCAAAAAAACTTTCTTTTTTTTTTTAATAATTTCCCCTACGTTCCATGGAACCTAGCTTGTTGCTGTTTATTTTATCAAATAAGTATGAAAGAGCCATCTTGGTTTTTGTGAAATTTAAATATAAGAAAATGATGTTATTATGTTGTTTCCAGTATAGAAGTTAATAGTTCAGCAAATATTTATTTTTTTACAGCTTTATGAGGATTTGAAGTGTAAGATAAGATAAAAATAATCGTGTTTTAAATTATCGGATACATTACATACTGGTTATGTTCCATAATAAAAGTTTCATCCACACCGTTATAGTTTCCATATATAACTGGAATCTGAATTTAGTGAAATTTAACATTTGATTAAAATTAAAATACCTAATACTCAAAATTGGGTTAATTGTTAATATATATAAGATCTTACATTGATCAAGAACTGAAACTAGAATTCACAGCTTCCAGTCAGTTTGCGAATGGCTTTTCTATCGAATAAGCCAAATGTATAATGACTAGTGTTCTAATAAGAATTCATCTGTAGGAGTATTCGAACACTGATTTTCCGAAATTTTCTTACATTTAAGTCCTATAGAAAGACATCTAAAAAAAAAAAAAAAAAAAAAAAAAAAAAAAGATTCAGTGAATTGAACGCGCTGAAAGTAGCTGACGCCCGTGGCATTTCACAGGAACCACAAAAATCAACTTATAGAAAAACAAACAACTCAAAGATTGCGGATTTCCAGAAACCACTGCATGATGTAACTTCTTTGAAACCAGCATGTAACGCAATTTCAAGGAAAATTAAGAGTAATTTCGTAAAAACTGCCGTATGGTTTCCCCCCACATGAAGGGGGGAACTGTATATGAGGCTAGCCAAATATTACGTTTAAAATTTGTAGGGTTATACTGTGTCTAGAAGCTTGTCTCCATGTCCTGCACACTGCACTCGACTAGAATCGAGTTATCCCTTTAATTCGAAACAAAGGCCAAGTATTAAGACAATCTAAATAACATTTTGGACACATCTGCTTATGTGACAAACGAGCCTCCGCTGTTTGCAGATATTTAAATTAACATACAATAACGTTAAATTTAGAATAACTAACGTAGTTGAATGCCTCAAGAAAATCGTCGGTGCGTATTTTAAACGTCGACTAGCCAGATGCTAAAGTTGTAAATAAACATAAGCAGAGCTGGTGGTACTTGGTAAAACAGTAAGAAAAGGCTGCCAGAAGCTCTAACTCTACGCATTTAAACCTTAAGTATACAATAATTAATTTGCATTCTGGTGAGAACTACGAAAGGAAGATGCTTTTAGTAAAGTTTTAAATCATAATAATTGGTTAATTAACGTGTAAGCTTGTAAATTTATAAAACGTTTCGTGCGAGAACGTTTCGCATAAAAAGTATATACATTACTTTGAAAGTTACTGGCCTACATAGCCGCAGCTTTAATGCATATTAATTTACAAGTAATCTTAATTTAAAAGACAAATTTTTAAATTATTGGAGACAAGTATTAAAAGATCTAGAGGCATGATCTCTGAATAATTTCACATTTTATATTTTAGGTGCTCGATATGGGTTTTAATCGTATGAGAAATATTCCTGAGGATGCTTTCATTGGGAATCAACTTTTGACTCTCCTTGCTTTGGATGGCAATCCTCTTAGCACGTTACCAGAAGCTGCTTTCCTCCATCTGAATTCTACTCTACGAGGACTAAGTGTTGGAGGTAAGAGAAATGTCTCTTTACAACACTACAACGATATTTAATACAATAGTTCTTATTTTAGAATTCTAGTGTAATACACATATGATTGTACATGGCTTTACACACACAAGAATCCATGATTATGCTTAAATTCAGCCGAAACTCGCCAGTGCCAGGCCCGATACCGCTGCGGAAGCCTTCATTCATATAGGCTGTGTGAAAGACTGTCAGAAGGTACTTCTTGGAGACGAGACAATGAAGATCGCCAGAGCTGTGAGCTGATGGGTACAGTTTGGTTCCAAAAGGCTAGTGCAAAGGCAAGCTCAAGTATGGCTATACTTCGGCAGACATTTCTAAATCGTCTAATTTCCCGTTATGGTGATTTGTCCTGGCCATCCCGCTTCTGATCTGAGATTTGCTCACATTTGATTTACGTGATGTTTTTCATAATTTAGATTAAATTATGAAAAATTTAATTTTAACCGTATTATATCCTCTTTATTATGAATATTCGCAACCGAACTTTATACGCTATATTATATATATAATCGAATTATATACGCTTTGCTTTAACCGAATTATACGCGCAAGAAGGTGATGAATGCTCACGAATTGTCGCTGGTGTAAAAGTTAGCGTAGTCGTCCCCCAAGAAGTTATCTGGAGTGAAGCCCCAGGCATTGCAAAGATCATTCATTATTTTACTTCCTTTCCACTTCTTCATTGAGAATAAATAGGCGTTATGCCAGTTATGCTAATGAAGTGCCCTCACTTCCTTTATGTTATTTCAAAAATATATCTTCTCTGCTTATACGATAAGTAATAAATCTGTGGCACGCTTTCATACCATCAGTAATAAAGTAGTAGTCATTAATATATCATATTATATCATATTAATTATATCAAATCATAAGTAGTTGAAGCATAAGTCATTATTAATGAGGAAACGGCTTATGATATATGAGGTTACATCTGTCTTTCTCTATAATTTGTCTCGGTAGAAATCTTGAAACTGTTCAGGGTTTAAGGAAATACTACATCGGAACTGCTACCGCGAAATATTTCATGGTTCATTAATTATGATCAGAAATATAGTAATCGAAAGGAGTTGCTTTAGATCCAGAATGATTCTCTACGCTGCTGACCCCTCGCTTTTTTTTTCTCGTCCGACGAGTTGTTCATACAGAAGTCCCTCTTCCCTCTTCATACAGAAATACAAGCATTTTTAAAAAGTTTTCTTATTTTATTTTCTACAAATTTCCGCACAAAATTCTTAATTATGCATTACTATAAAATATTTTAAAATGCATAATAAGCAATAGTTCTTCATAAGAATGGTTTTTTTTTTTATTTAAAATTGAAAACGCCTTTTAATTAGCGTCTTAAAAAGATAATAAGCTGAAATTAATTCTTTTCTTAATTAACTTTTCTTATTTTCTTTTTATAAAATGTTAAACCCAGAAGTTAAACATATTAAGTTGCTTTTAAATGCCTAGTATAAGTTAAATGGTTTTTCCTTTTGCTATGGCTTGGATAAAGAAATCAATAATTTTAATCATAATTGTGGGTTGTTAAGAATGCAAAAAAAAAAAAAAAAAAAAAAAAAAAAGAAAAAGAAAGAAAAAAAAAAAAACTTTGTAAATTTTTTATCAGACATTAATCACTATTGCTCTGTTAGTGATGCTTTGTATCATAGTACACTTTTATTTCTCGCAGTGTAAATTAAAAAACTGGCGGTTTAAAGTTACCAAGAGCAACTTCTTTAGCATAATTATCTTTGTTTCTCATAATTTTTAAAATATAATAGTAATAGGTAATATTTCTAAAGAAGCATAAATTAATAAAATAAAATTGTTTATGCGTCGGCCGGGAGTCGAACCCGGATCAACTGCTTGGGAGGCAGCTATACTAACCGTTATACCACCGACACCTCGGATGAATACTTCGTCTTATTGTAATATGATTAAAATAAAGCGTAAAATTATGAGAAGCAAAGCATCACACAACTGTGAGAAAATGAAAATCTAGATCATCAATAACATAAAATCCGAGAACATTGTTTGGAAGGCAGCTGATTATGCTGAACATTGTACTTAGTGTGTCACATTTCGAAAATGATTCTTGGTTTCAATACTTAAACTTCAGGTTTTAATATAATTTTAAATTTCCCTCTGCATTATAGTTGTTCTCGATGGACAGCTGACCGTTTTCTCACACTCCTTTGAACCACAGTGGACTGGAATCTACTGCCGGCCATTATCTCTCAAAACTACTCGGTACTTGAGGGTAGAAATGTTATTTCGTTTTCCAAATTAGAAGTCAACTATAATGCTGACATTTAAATTTACTAGAATTTCAGGGATATTAATTTTAACGTAGTTATTACAACAAGGTTTGTGCAACTGACCTCAATAGCTGTCCAAAAAAGTTATACATTATACATACAGAAGAAAGTACAGGCCTGTCAAACTCAGCATCTTAAGTAGACCAGATTAGTCATCAGTATACACCACTTTAGCCGAGGGGGGAAAAGGGCAATTTCCCTGTCTAATGGATTTATTTAAAAGTCCAATTATTTAAAAAGTGATTAAATACATAACATTTTACTTAGTACTGTAGTTTTTAATAAAACAGTGGATGGAACATAAAGAAATCTAAGGACGGATGGATAGGTATCGTTTCTTTCCCGACATTTGGCATCTTTTCCTGCAGTCAGGTGCCCCCTTTCGGATGTTTGGAGAACTACTGCTCTCACTAACCATTTTCGGAACACAAGTCAGATGAATGTCTAATAACCTCGATCTCGCTAGATACATTTTTCCCTTTTCATAAGCGAGAAAGTGTTTTACACAAATATGTACTACCTAATATGGAAATTGTATATGAAGCAAATTTTCTGCGTTCTGAGAACCGTGCAGCCGAACATTTATAAAATTGGAAGATATTCACTTCACTGAATTTGCTTTAACCCTCTCAGGGGCGGTGGTTTCGGCTTGAAACCGTATTTTCAACATTTTTTTTTTTTTTTTTAATTTAGAAAATTTGGTTTCATTTTCTCAAAACTGCTGCTAAAATTAAATGACTTCTTAAAGCTGATAACAGATGGCAGCACTAAACCTTTTTGGGCATCCATTAATTGATACGAATCGTTCAAAAATAGCTTGTTTTTGTCATTCATTTTGGGCTATTGTAAGAACAAAAACCTAACAATTTTTAATTTTTCCACAATATATTTTATAAGCAGGCATCAATGATTAATGAAATGTCCTTAGTTCACAAAAAAAAAGTAATGTAACCCTGTTAATTTTGAATGTTTTCAGCGCGGTTTCATTATGAAACCACCGCCCCTCTGAGACATCGAAAAAAGGATCAGATGACGCAGTCGCGAGATTTTTTACAGCTGTGTTTATTTCGGATCACTGCTGTAAGCAGTTGCATCATATCATCCTTTGAGTGTCTTCAAAGATGAGGAGTTATGGAGCTTTTGAGAGAGGAAAAACATTTCTTATTTTTTACAGAGACACAGAGAGAACACTCACAGTTGCGTTTTTATTCTGCTTCTCTTAGCTGTCGCTTTTCTCATTCTTCTAGTTCATAGTAAAATATTTGCATACATCTAAATTAATTTTATTTCCAGATATAATTGTCTTAGTTTTTAACATAATTTTTAAAAATATTTCATAGTTTTATGTAAGTAATTTAGTAAATTATTAGTTACTTTTTGTCTCTTCCTATTTTAAATTTTTTATTTATAATTAAAAATACGTGTTTATACAAATATTACTTACTTCATTAGTTGTTCAGTAATTTACTAGTATAATCTGCAATGTGGGTTACGTTCAATACTTTCCAGCAAAGTAAAGATAAATAAGCAAATGCTTAGTCTTGAATGCTCTAGACGGGCGCTGGTTTCAAGGCGAAACCGGTCCCCTTTCCATAAAGGGGGGACGAAAAAAAATTTTTTACACTCATTTATGTTGTCTATAAGACCATTGCATGTCATTATGCTTACTTTTTCAGAACTTTTAAAAAAATCATAACATTGCGCCCCTGAAAGGGTTAAAGCCTAGTCGCGCTGAATTTCTATAAATTCCATTCGTAAGTAGGATAATACTTTCTCAATGTCGGTTGAAAAAGAGGTGGAAAACCGGGAGAGCCTATTTTCGACAGATCTGATATCGCGAACCTTTCTTCAAATTCACTCTTCAAACGCTGAAGCTTCTCAGCATTTAAAGATTGAATCAGCGCACGTTGTATACAAAAGGAGCTTTTTTTGCATCACAACCTTTTTATTTTTTGTGGTGAACCGAGGGCGGCAGTAAAATGAGTCGATGGCCGCGAGTTCTATGCTAATAAATAACATTTAATTAAATGTGGAAAGGGAGAAAAAGTCAAAGTGCCAGAGCCTTTAAGTTCTGATGGATAGTTCAAAATCCTTAAAAAAATTTAATACAAAGCAAGAATAGAGACAGCGGGCAACAAAACAAATTGGAAAACTGGCACCAAAGAGTAAAAAAGGTCAGACATTTTATCAAGGAATCTTTGAATGAAGAATATTTTGTTCTGTCATCTAGTTGGATTAATGCTGCTGTACAGCATGACAGAGAACTGCATATTTATGATTTTCAAAAGAATTTGCTCAAAGGGAGCGTCGGCTGATTACTCTTAATCCTCAATCTGATCCAGGAACTATATGCATGTGCTATTCTGCAAAAATCCGAATGTCTTTTCTTCGAGGGGGGGATTAATCCAGTTAAACATCCTTATACCACCCATGATGCTTCAAGGAAACTCCATCCGAAAGCTAAGAGAAAGCAACCTTGAACCTGATGCGTTCTATGATAAGCTATGTCCAATGCAAAGCATCCATCATATGACGTCAGCACATATATTCTTGTTGTCACAGCCTTCTATTAGTTGTATAACCTTCAAGGCCAGGTGACATTCATTCAGGCCGGCTCCAAGCATAGGCGATATAGACACCCGCATAGGGCGTAGTTTTTTTAGGACGGAGGCATAGCCG